CGTCGTCGTCGTCGTCATTCTGGGACGATGCCTTATGTGAGCCGAACTTCTCCTGGACACTTTAGTAAACATGTCTGCAAAGCAAGATGGCTGTAAGGATGTCATTGGTTCGCGTGTGGTTTCCGGGAGAACCCGCCGAGCAACAGTGGGAAAGGGCGAGACGATTCCTGGAGACATCAAGCCGAAATTTGGTCAAGGTGAATGGCATGCGTGAAGCGATTGAGGAGCTCGAGAAGGTGGAAAAGACAGCAGGCGATGATGCCAGAATGTTGAAAGTGTTGGCTGAGGCTCTGGAGTCTGAAGAAACGGAGCAGTTGATCAAAGCAAGGGTAAACCAACCACGTGCCTCGGCTTGGACTGCAACGCCAGACTGCTTGAAAAGCCTCCGCCCTGACATCAATTGCATGCTGGTCTACCAGTTCAGAACATCCAGCTTCCAGGCCTATTACCCGCGTCCACTGACGGAGGAAGCATTGCGCAACCCGAAGATCAAGAAATTCTACAGCACCAGCAGAAGCTTTGGAGGCGGCAAATGGACCAAAGTCCAGGCTTTGACCATGGTGGTCCGTTTCTTATGGCAACACCACAAGAAGCGGAAGTTCGTGCCCTTGGTTGCAGCAGAGTAGCTGTCGTTCACATGTTAGTTGAGGTTTGCGGCCTCGGCAATTGTTCAGAGTGCTCCCATCAGGACTGTAGCCAACAACCCGATGACCGGAAGATCAAGGAGATGCTCCAGCGTGCAGAGGACGTTCTAGCTGGACGTGCAACAGACGATGCGGACATCGATGCAGCACCCGAGCCTTTCATCCCCGAAAGCGAAGTGCTACACCAAGCGGAGGACGAGCATGAACGAGTTGATCCTGCTCAGCTGCTGCCGGACGATGACGACAGTGGCGACTCAGACGTTGATGCCAACAAGAGTGACACGCTTGCGGCAGAAGCTGCAAAGCCTGAGGCTGCTCCGATCAGGGGTCGGGGTCGCGGTCGGGGTCGCGGTGCGAAAGCAGGGACTGCCAAAGCCAGCAGCAAGCCGGTGCCAAAATCTCAGCAGAAGCGTGAGTTTCCTACAGAAGTGAAGCAAAAGGTGGAAAATGAACGTGCCAGGTTCAAGCCAGTGGTACGCGAGATCACTAAAGAGCTTGCTGAGCCTGGCTTGGGACGTGATCTCCATGGTGGCTCAACCAGTAGCCGTGCGCCGCCGAGCCGGACAGGTGGTGACAAGCGAAAAGCCAAAGACGAGAGAAAGCCTGACAAGGACGAGAAGCGAAAGAAGCAGAAGACATGACCGACCAATGCTGCTGGAAAAACAACGCAGCTTCGCTGAGCGGCCAGCCTTCCTTTGCATACTCAAACGTTGATTAATATTCTCGCCCTCTCTCTCCTCTCTCTCGCTCTGTCTGTCCGTCCCTCTGTCCGTCCGTCCGTCCCTCGGTC